GTTGGTAAGGTGTTGGTAAGGTGTTGGTAAGGAGTTGGTAAGGTGTTGGTAAGGTGTTAGTAAGGTGTCGGTAAGGTGTTGGTAAGGTGTGGGCAAAGCGTTGGTAAGGTCTCAGTAAATGGTCGGTAACTGTTCGGCAGTTGGTCAACCAACCACTTACCGACACCTTACCGTATGTTGTAGACTGATCACAATAGCCCACACAAAAGACTGAATAAGCCCAATTTAAAAGCCATCCTTAATAGAGCTTTAGTTTAAGTTGTGACATATTTCTAGCTCCAGCTGCTCATTATTTTAAAATTAATCTTTTTAATGAAAGAAACTCAGCCTTAAACAATTAAAACTTTGTGAAGGAAAAAATCTTAATAGAACGCCCGGACCAAGAAGTATATTTTGAAATTAAAACATACGATTGACGTCCCATATATGGACTATACGAGGATGATCCGCTGAACAGGGTATGGTTTTTCGAGCTTCTTGTCATAAACAGGGTATGCAATTTCACTCAAGTTCCAAGTTCTTCCTGAATTTCCTGTCATATTCAGGGTTTCTACTTTCGTATTGACCAAAACTGGTTATTATGGTCGTAAAAAAACGATATGCAAGATGACATGATAATTGAAACAGGAACTCAGTGCAATAAATTATATCTTTTGTCATAAACAGGGTACCCCTTTCAGAATCCCAGCGGAACACCCCTACCCAATTTTTGGTGGAGTACCCCCTTTGGGTCACACATCATTACGCAACCTTTCAAATCAATCTAGCCCCCACCCTACTCCCTCTATTGGAAAAAAAAAAAATTTTAAAGATGAAAAAACTAACTTTGTTCACAGTTTTTTCCTTCCCATCCTGCTGCACATGTGCAGTCATAACCGTCAAGTTTGTCTTTACATGTTGCATCATTTAGACAGGGATTGCTGGCACAATCATCAGTATCTAAAACAGAATTATTTGACATTAATTTATTATTATTCTTTAATAGATAAATGATATGATAAGGACTACAAGACCTGGCTTACGCCTAGGGCAAACGTCAAACTTTCCATGCACCGAACTTAATTACATTAAAGAATGCCGCCTCATTATCACCTGATATCCATTGTTTTTAATGAGTGTGGTGCATGGAAAGTTCGACGTTTGCCCTAGGCCTTAGAGACTGTTAAATTGTTGTCAGGGATTTTTTGAATGACACCCCCCCTCCTTCCACAAATTCTACTTTCCCTCCCTAATTGACAGTTAATAGTCCCATTAGGAATTAATGATCAGCTTTAATTTCCATAAGATGACTCATCAAAATGCTATTTTTTTAAATGACTTTTTTACAGGATCCTCTGGCATGATTGCAAGGTAACAACATCCTATATGGACGTTCTAGCAGACATCACGCAATGCTTTCCCCCGAAAAAGGATGTCAGGGCCGTAACCAGAACTTTTACAGGGAGGGTGCACATCGAATAAAATTGGACTATTGATCGTTTCTTTTAAGAAAGCAGAACCAAAAGAAAAAAGGTAACCAAAAGAAGCACAACCAAAAAAAGAAAAAAAGGTAATCAAAAGAAAGCAGAACCAATAAAAAAAAGGAGATGGATGAGCGGACCTTAAGCTTTTATGGGGGGGGGGGTTCACGTGCACCCTGTGCTCCCCCCTAGTTACAGCCCTGGATGTTATAGCGGAGAATAAATATCAGTGCATATACATAGTTTTTCTCACCAGTTTCGCAAAGTTTTCCCTCCCATCCTGGAGCACATTTACATGAGTAGCCATTGTTCTTGTCAATACATTTGGCACCATTTTTACATGGATCAGATAAACACTCATTAACATCTGGAATGAATGAGATCATACATAAGAACTGGTACCTAAATAGTTAAGACTTTTTATATTGGAACAGTAATAAAATGTATGGGTGACATTGTCAAATATGAGCAAGTTGGGGTTACTTTTTCTTCTTGATTCAAAAGGGAAAAAAAGGAAAGGAAAGGAAAGGAAAGGAAAGGAAAGGAAAGGAAAGGAAAGGAAAGGAAA